ATGATCATTACACAGCCATTTCTTTACTGTGTCCACTATATTGTTGGTCTCCTTCATGGCCTAGAACCTTCTCTCTTGCCTTTTATTTTTCTCCTCATGAATAAGACAGACCAGTCAACTGGATGCAGAGTTAAATTCAATTCAATTCAATTCAATTTTATTTATATAGCGCCAAATCACAACAACAGTTATCTCACAGCGCTTTTCATAAAAGAGCAGGTCTAGACCGTACTCTGTGATGTTATTTACAGAAGCCCAACAGTTCCCACCAAGAGCAAGCACTAGGCGACAGAGGCAAGGAAAAACTTCCTTTTAAGAGGCCATCTGCCTCGACCGGTTGGGGTGAGAGAGAGAGAGAGAGAGAGAGAGAGAGATGTAAGGAGAGAGAGAGAGAGAGAGATGTAAGGAGAGAGAGATGTAAGGAGAGAGAGAGAGGGGAGGGAGGCAGCCTACACAATATACACACAGAGGTACACACAGTGAAGGTAATGTTGCTATAGACTAAATGAAAAATGGTACAGATATTTATAATAGTGTTAATGGTAACCATCGTAATGTTAATGATTATAATAACAATAATAACAATAAGACTAGCAAAAATAGTCGTTGCAGCAGAGGGTGTCGAGCAGGAACACGGGGGCAGCAGGTGACCCGCAGCCACAGCTCCAGACTCCACAGCTCCAGAGCCAGAAAACCTGCAGGAAGTGATAGGAGGAGAGAGGAGAGGGACGAGAAAGCACAAGACTACCAGAAAGGGGAGAAGTTGTGTTAGTAACATGCAATAATGGGATAAGGTTGCATACAGAGGGAGAGAAAGTAGAGGAGAGAGGAGCTCAGTGCATCATGGGAAATCCCCCGGCAGTCTAGGCCTATAGCAGCATAACTAAGGGATGGTTCAGGACTACCTGAGCCAGCCCTAACTATAAGCTTTATCAAAGAGGAAAGTCTTAAGCCTACTCTTAAATGTGGAGATGGTGTCTGCCTCCTGAACCCAAACTGGAACCTGGTTCCACAGGAGAGGAGCTTGATAGCTGAACGCTCTGGCTCCTAGTCTACTTTTGGAGACTCTAGGAACCACAAGTAACCCTGCATTCTGGGAGCGCAGTGCTCTGGTGGGGTAGTAAGGTACTATGAGCTCTTTAAGATAAGATGGTGCCTGACCATTAAGAGCTTTGTAGGTAAGAAGAATGATTTTAAATTCTATTCTGGATTTTACTGGAAGCCAATGCAGAGAAGCTAAAACAGGAGAAATGTGATCTCTTTTCCTGGTTCCTGTCAGAACACGTGCTGCAGCATTCTGGATCAGCTGAAGAGTCTTAATGGACTTTTTCGAGCAGCCTGATAATAAGGAATTGCAGTAATCCAGCCTAGAAGTAACAAATGCATGGACTAGTTTTTCTGCATCATTTTTAGACAGGATGTTCCTGATTTTCGCAATATTACGTAGGTGAAAAAAGGCGGTCCTTGAAATTTGCTTAATGTGAGACTTAAACGACATGTCCTGATCAAAGATAACTCCAAGATTCCTCACAGTGGTGCTGGAGGCCAAGGCGATGCCATCCAGGGAAACTATATCTTTAGATAATGCGTCACGGAGGTGCTTAGGCCCCAGAGTAATAACTTCAGTTTTATCTGAGTTTAACATGAGAAAATTACAGGTCATCCAGGTTTTAACATCCTGAAGGCACATTTGAAGTTTAGCTAACTGATGAGTTTCATCTGGCTTGATCGATAGATATAACTGAGTATCATCTGCATAACAATGAAAGCTTATGGAATGTTTCCTGATAATATTGCCTAAAGGAAGCATATATAAAGTGAAGAGGATTGGTCCAAGGACAGATCCTTGAGGAACTCCATGAGTAACTTTGGCGTGCATGGAGGACTCATCGTTAACATGTACACCACTTAAACACTCACCAGCCACTTTATTAGGTACACCTGTTCAGTTGCTTGTTAACACAAATAGCTAATCAGCCACATGGCAGCAACTCAATGCATTTAGGCATGTAGATGTGGTCAAGACAACTTGCTGAAGTTTAAACCGAGCATCATAATGGGAATGAAAGGGGATTAAAGTGACTGAACTTGGCATGGTTGTTGGTGCCAGACAGGGCTGGTCTGAGTATTTCGGAAACAGCTAAGAACAGGAAACTGACGCTACAATGTGCACAGGCTCACCAAAACTGGACAATAGAAGATTGGAAATATATGTGGCCTGGTCTCGATTTCAGCTGCGACATTCAGATAGTAGGGTTAGAATTTGGCATAAACAACATGAAAGCATGGATCCATGCTGCCTTGTATCAATGGTTCAGGCTAGTGGTGGTAGTGTAATGGTGTGCAGGATATTTTCTTGGCTCACTTTGGGCCCCATTGTACCAACTGAGCATCATTTAAACACGACAGCCTACCTGAGTATTGTTGCTGACCACGTCCATCCCTTTATGACCACAGTGTACCCATCTTCTGATGGCTACTTCCAGCAGCATAATGCACCATGTCACAAAGCTCAAATCATCTCAAATTGGTTTCTTCACATGTCAATTAGTTCACTGTACTCCAATGGCCTCCACAGTCACCAGATCTCAATCCAATAGAGCACTTTTGGGATGTGGTGGAATGGGAGATTCTCATCATGGATGTGCAGCTGACAAATCTGCAGCAACTGCGGGGTGCTATCATGTCAATATGGACCAAAGTCTCTGAGGAATGTTTCCAACACCTTTTGAAGAATTAAGGCAGGTCTGAAGGCAAAAGGAGGTCCAACCCTGTTCTATCAAGTTGTACCTAATAAAGTGGCCAGTGAGTGTAGATATAAAGTTTTACAAGTTCGCCTTGCACAGTATTTGTCACCAACTTGTAAACACGGTAAGCTAACGATCATTGCTTGGTTGCTACCAAGTGGCAACCATCTGTTCTCCTGGGTGAAGCCAACCCGGTAGTCCCTAAAACTGCAATTCATCGAGTGGCCACTTGAGCCTGGCTCCAGAAAGGAGTCTATCTCCATAGACCCCAATGTTAAAATGCAATAAAAATCATATTTAAAACCTGGTACAAAAGATGGTTTTTGTGTATATTGCTAATTTTGCCCTTCATGACAACTGTGAGGGGGGTGACATTTTTTACTTTTAACTCACCTGTTAAAATTATATTAATCAGAATCAGAAATACTTTATTGATCACATTGATCATTGATTGGTCACAATTGCATACTTGTCAAAGGTAGATAGATAAAGAGTATATAAGAGTATAATAAATATAAAATATAAAGACAAAGGATTGTGGGTATGTACAATATTTCCATTATTAAGAGTTATTATGGTGAACCAAAAAGGACTAGTGAATAAATAGCAACAGAGAATATTGCACATTAATAATTAAACAGATAATATTGCACAAAAAAAGATAATACAATCCAGTTTAAAAACTTAGTATCCGTGTGTCAGACACTTAGAGGGAGGAGTTAAAGTTAAAGTTTGATGGCCACAAGCAGGAATGACTTCCTGTGGCGCCTTGTCACCCTTGCTGACACATCCAACCACAGCAGAGTCGTCAGAAAACTTCTGAAGATGACAGGACTCTGTGTGGTAGCTGAAGTCTGTGGTGTAGATGGTGAAGAGGAAGGGAGAGAGCACCGTCCCCTGCGTGGCCCTGGTGTTGCTGACCACGCTGTCTGACACACAGTGCTGCAGGGGCAACAATCCAGGACACGAGGGGGGCATCCACCTGTCAGCTTGTCACCCAGCAGTGGTGTTGAAAGCAGTGGAGAAGTCAAAAAACATGACCCTCACAGTGCTTGCCGGCTTGTCCAGGTGGGCGTAGGTGCGGTTGAGCAGGAGGATGATGGCGTCCTCAACTCCCAGTCGGGGCTGGTAGGTGAACTGGAGGGGGTCCAGAAGATTGCTGACCATGGGCTGCAGCTGATCTAGAACCAGTCTCTCCAGGGTCTTCATAATGTGGGAGGTCAGTGCCACAGGTCTGTAGTCCTTGGAGCTATTAGGACGTGACGTCTTTGGCACAGGAACGAGGCAAGATGTCTTCAACAGCACAGGGACCCTTTGGAGACTCAGGCTCAGTTTGAAGACATGGTGAAGGACTCCACATAGCTGGGGGGCACAGGCTTTGAGCACCCTGGGACGGACACCATCAGGGCCTGCAGCCTTGTTGGAGTGGAGTCTTCTCAGTTGTCTTCTCACCTGGTCAGCAGTGAGGCACACAGAGGTCACAGTTGGGGTAGGCGGAGAGGAGGAGTCGTCAGGCTGGAGAAAGCTGTTAACCTGAGAGCCGGAGGAGGGGGGGGGGTTGGGGTCTCTCAGGAGGGTGGGGGACAGTGAGGAGGAGGAGGGGGGAGTAGTGGAGTTGGAGGTGTTTAAGGTGTTTGAGGGCAGACAGCAGCTGAGTTAGTGGGGTGTTGGGCAGGAGCCATAGTATCAAATCTGTTATAGAACAGATTAAGTTCATTGGCCCTGTCCAAGCTGCCTTCAACTCCTCCGCTGCCAGTCGATCTGAAGCCAGTGATGTTCCTCATGCCACTCCAGACCTCCCTCATGTTGTTCTGCTGGAGTTTACGCTCCAGCTTCCTCCTGTACTTCTCCTTAGCCTCCCTGATCTTCACCTTCAGGTCCCCCTGAATGGCCCTCACCTCCTCCCTATTCCCGTCTCTGAAAGTCCTCCTCTTAGCATTCAGGATGTCCTTGATGATCCTTTGTTACCCACGGTTTGTTGTTTGGGTAACAATGGACAGTCTTTGCTGGGACAGTGCAGTCCACACAGAAGTTGATGTAGTCTGAGATGCACTCAGTAAGCCAATCTATGTCCTCTCCATGTGGCTCACAGAGTGCATCCCAGTCTGTCACCTCAAAACAGCCTCCTCCGACCATCTCTTCACCGTCCTTGTGGTCGCAGGCTGCCTTTTCACCAGAGGCACATAGCAGGGATTGATATGAACCAGGCTGTGGTCTGACCTGCCCAGTGGGGGGAGGGGGGAAGAGCTGTATGCATCCTTAACGTTAGCATACAGTAGGTCTAGGTTCCTCTCCTCTCTAGTATGGCAGCTCACATACTGGGTGAAGTTGGTTAGTGTGGTGGTCATGGTGACATGGTTGAAGTCACCCGAGATCACTCGGGTGTTGAGTCTGGAGTTCAGCAATGGCGGTGTGGGTGATGTTACACGCCAACGTCGAGTTGGCAGAGGGCAGAATGTAAACAGCCACGACGATGGCATGTGGAATTTCCCATGGCAGATAATATGGCCTTAAAATTCTGCATTATTAGGGGCGTGGCCGCTTTGATTGAGCCGAGGCTGCTGACACTGCTAGCAATCCTCCTGCCATCTGCCACCTCACTCAGCTAGTTAAGGAGCTCTGTAGCTCTTCTTCATGGTGATACCAGAAGAATAATGGCAGGCTGTGCAGTTTATTGCAGAGAGAGACCATCCAGGAAGCTGGTGCTCCTGTTGGTGAGTGAAATTCTAGTATTTTATTTATGTGTTACAATAATTAGCAGGTATGGGTATATAACTTTTGCTTGTTAGCTTAGCTACCTAACTAGCTAATTAGCAAACTTCAAGTTTTGGTAACAATGCTAAAATAACATGAGTGCGCTAACTGTAGTTTTTACACAATCATGCACAGGAGTCAAAATGTATTAGAGTATTATAGTTAATTAGCTGATTAGAGTGTGGCACCAGGTGTCTTCAATATTGAACCTTTTCACAATATTCTAATTTTCTGAGATACTGATTTTGGGTTTTCATTAGTTGTCAGTTATAATCATCAAAATTAAAAGGAATGAACACTTGAAATATATCAGTCTGTGTGGAATGAATGTATACATTATACAAGTTTCACTTTTTGAATGGAATTACTGAAATAAATCAACTTTTTGATGATATTCTAATTATATGACCAGCACCTGTACAGACAAAGCAAACAAGCAGGGAGGGAGTGAACAGGTGAAAGATACAAGGAACTAATCAGACACAACAGTAACAAAGCTAGACAAAGACACATGAAACTGATCACTAACACAGGAAGCAACGCATGGGAAAACACAGGAGGGTATATTTAATAAAGTACGGGTGAAACTCGAAAAATTAGCATATCGTGCAAAAGTTCATTTATTTCAGTAATTCAACTTAAAATGTGAAACTAATATATTATATAGGCTCATTACATGCAAAGTGAGATATTTCAAGCCTTTATTTGGTATAATTTCGATGATTATGGCTTACAGCTTATGAAAACCCCAAACATCTCAGAAAATTAGAATATCGTGAAAAGGTTCAGTATTGTAGGCTCAAAGTGTCACACTCTAACCAGCTAATTAATCCAAAACACCTGCAAAGGGTTCCTGAGCCTTTAATTGGTCTCTCAGTCTGGTTCAGTGGGATTCACAATCACGGGGAAGACTGCTGACCTGACAGTTGTGCAGAAAATCATCACTGACACCCTCCACAAGGAGGGAAAGCCTCAAAATTAATTAATTTTTTAATTAATTAATTAATTGCAAAAGAAGTTGGATGTTCTCAAAGTGCTGTATCAAGGCACATTAATAGAAAGTTAAGTGGAAAGGAAAAGTGTGGAAGAAAAAGGTGCACAAGAAGCAGGGATGACCATAGCCTGGAGAGGATTGTCAGGAAAAGGTCATTCAAATGTGTGGGGGAGCTTCACAAGGAGTGGACTGAAGCTGGAGTTACTGCATCAAGAGCCAGCACACACAGACGGGTCCTGGACATGGGCTTCAAATGTCATATTCCTCTTGTCAAGCTGCTCCTGAACAACAAACAACGTCAGAAGAAAAAAAGAACTGGTCTCTTTGTCAGTGGTCCAAAGTCCTCTTTTCTGATGAGAGCAAATTTTGCATCTCATTTGGAAACCAAGGTCCCAGAGTCTGGAGGAAGAATGGAGAGGCACACAATCCAAGATGTTTGAATCCAGTGTGAAGCTTCCACAGTCTGTTGGTTTGGGGAGCCATGTCATCTGCCGGTGTTGGTCCACTGTGCTTTATTAAGTCCAGAGTCAGCGCAGCCGTCTACCAGGACATTTTAGAGCACTTTATGCTTCCTTCAGCAGACAAGCTTTATGGAGATGCTGACTTCATTTTCCAGCAGGACTTGGCACCTGCCCACACCGCCAAAAGTACCAAAACCTGGTTCAGTGACCATGGGATTACTGTGCTTGATTGGCCATCAGACTCGCCTGATCTGAGTGGCATTGCCAAGAGAAAGATAACGACGTGAGACCGAACAATGGAGAAGAGCTGAAGGCCGCTATTGAAGCATCCTGGTCTTCCACAACACCTCAGCAGTGCCACAGGCTGATAGCATCCATGCCAGCCGCATTGAGGCAGTAATTCATGCAAAAGGGGCCCAAACCAAGTACTGAGTACATGATTCATGAGTGCATGATTATACTTTTCAGAGGGCTGACATTTCTGTATTTAAAATCCTTTTTTTTATTGATTTCATGTAATTTTCGGGGATTTTGAATTTGGGGTTTTCATAAGCTGTACGCAATAATCATCGAAATTATATCAAATAAAGGCTTGAAATATCTTACTTTGCATGTAATGAGTCTATATAATATATTAGTTTAACCCTTTAAGTTGAATTACTGAAATAAATTAACTTTTGCACGATATGCTAATTTTTCGAGTTTCACCTGTATACCAGAAAACATGTAAAGAATGAATAACCAAACAAAACATAAGCTGGAACATAGAATGAGAACACAATCAGGACATAATACCAAAACCACGACAGTAACAGTAAATATAAGAGCAAAATGATAAATATACAATAAGAGCTAACTTGACTGTTCAAGTGGTGTCCAGTAGTAAGAATAATATTGCACATATAATTAAACAGTGTATTGCACATTGCCATAATTAATGTTAAATACCAGAGAGATTATCATGTTGAGGAGATCTCAGAGTTGAGTAGGTTTATAGCAGTTGGGAAGAGGCTGTCTGTAACTTTATACCATTGTTATGTTGATAGGAGCCCGATGAGCTGATGGCAGCATCATTCCAGATGTGAAGCACCAGAGTCTGGTTCTACAGATGTCCCAGCTTCCAGCATGACCCTGCCAGATCCTGCACCCTACTGCTTTGCTCAGCCTTTTGTTTTTACTTTTACTCCACAACACCTGAACTCTACTGATTTCAAATTATGACACTGGGTTCCTATCCACAGGTTCTGTTATTATAATTACTGCTACAACACATTATTTCAAATCAGACAAAACTACTTTTACATTGGTAACATTTTAATACTGATGTTTTCATAAATGCAAGATATGATTTTAATTTGTTAAACTGTTGCTTTTGTAGTAGGAATAATTTTTGGTATATAAAATGGATCAGAATAGATATACTTAAAATCACTCTTCACTCAGTGTGATCTAAACTTTAAAAAATAGGATCGTTAACAGCTGTAAATGAAAATATTAAGACAGTATTATAGGTCAACATTTTGCATGTGAGTAAAAAGTAAAAAATGAAAAGCTGATGTTATATATTTGTTTTATTTGGACCTTTCTTTAAGAGATTAATGTGACATTAACTAAGAAGTTGTGGAAACCAAAGAATTATCTGCACACTGAATAGTTCAACAACTGGTGCATTTGATCAGCTCTGAGACCTCAGTGTTTGCACCATCACAATTAATGATTCCACCTAGTTGGATTCATAATTACTGGTTGGTTTGGATGTGCCCACATTCTTCTGTGTTTAAAGTTCATTTAAATTAGAGCAGCAAACAAGGCACTCTTCAAAAAATATTCAGGCTCTGGTACTGAGTGTAAGACTCAGTTACTCTACTCAGGTAGAAAGTGAAAATACTCCAACACACACAGATGTACACTGTATAATTACTTTTCAACATTTCATGTGAAACTTGAAACATTTTTGGGAGCATTTTCACTTTTAAACTTCAACTAGACTCATCTCTCTTAGCAAGAGTTCAGTTTTAATGTTTGATGTTTTATCTGTGTTATATGATTAACTTGTCAATTGAATTGACAGAGAATGTGAAATCGAACATTTTCAGTCAGTAGTAAAGACAAAATTTGAGAATTATTTGCAATGTGAACCATAATTTATATATTTTTTAAGTGTGCATAAATTAAAACTAAAGAAGAGCTATTCCACCACAGTCCAACAGATAAATGTCCAGCACAATGAGGATGGTTTCCATGTCTCTGCAGCTCTCTGGCACCAGGTTGGACATCTGATCCACATCCACTGTGACTATAGAAGGAAAATAAAAGAGTAATAAATGTTGCAGGTGATGTAAAATATAAAGTTAACTATAAACGATGCCTCAGCTTGAGTAACAGTAGTAATATGTCAAATATGTGAGAGAAAATGGAACAAGGGAGCACCTCAAAATATAGATGACAGCCAATAACAATTGTTTTTGTGTTGTCCTTTGAAGACATACATTGTAATATCAGCTGTCAACTGTCAAGTAGCCATCACATTGGTGTTATCACATTATAAAGTATAGTCCTCGCACCAGCCCTGCTCACTCGCTCTGTTTGGTTTTATTGCAGTGTACTCTTTAGCACTCAGAGCTCCCCCTGCTGATCACAAGGTGCCTCATCAGCCGTTTCAAACCCAGCCTTCACTATATGGCCTGGTCCGCTTATTTGCATACACTCCTCAATCCTAAATCTCAAATGCCCAATCCTAAATTCAGAAATGCCCAATCTTAAATGCCCAATCACCCAATTCTAAATGCCTAAATGCCCAAACGTCCAAATGTCCAATATTAAATGCAAAAATGCTCAATCCAATGGCCAGCGATCAGCGACAGCATATACCAATGTTGATTCAATTGTTATCACAAAGAGATATTGAAACTGTAAGCATATACAAACCAGGCAGACTAGGTGTGTATATAAATAGATAATAGAGAGTGTAGATTAAGACGGAGAATTCCGAGATCCCGATCTCTGGTGTGGGAATGCATATCATTCACAGTGCAACTGCTGATGTCACTGTAGAGGTTAAATATATTTGATGGATGCTTTTGTTACAAGGACACACAATCCTTTGATTTATTGTCAGGAGCAACGTGCTGTGTATCCGCACCTGTAGCCTACATGATGGCAAAAAAAAATCTTATGTGTGCCAGCAACAAGTGTTCCATGTGAACACATTTTTTCCAAGGCTGTCATATATGGAAAAAAAAACAACTCGGCCCCAAGACAGCAGAATATTTCTGAATAAAATTCTTGACATAGGCCTATAACAAATGTGAGACTTTGTTCCACTTTTGTTTCCACTAATTTTTTATCATTCTTGAAACCACTTCAACATTACTCAGTTAAGGATTTTTAATCCATTCCACCCCATCACCACAATTACTCATTATTATTCATTGTTATTACACTAGGACATTCCCACTATTTATCATTACACCTCTTTTAAAAGCTACTGTATAATACTGTAAATATCCATATTTATAAACATTTATTATTTTCTTAGATTTTATACTTTATTATATTCTCTACTCACTAATTTCTACTATTATTTCTATTCCTTTTATGTCTTGCAAGTATCTGTAACAAAGAATTTCTCCTCAGGGGATCACTAAAGAATTCCGATTGTGAAATATAAAACAACACACAGATGTGTTATTTAAACACAATTTTATTGCAGTCCCCATCTGCTGTCTCTCACAATTGGTCATGTATTGTAAATGCATGTCAGTCATTGTTTCAATAAAACTCCTACCAAGATGTGTCCATCACTGCCTTTATTATAATAATAATAATAATAATAATAATAACTAGAACTGCAAGCAGTTGTAATTGGGGTCCAAGCCTCCCGGCACAAGCCGCCCCCCATGACCCCGCGGAGGGCGCAAGAGTTGGCCTGGGCGCTGTGCTGTCATGCCGCATAAGGACCCCAAGTTTGGTGTTGATCTGCCATTCCAAACGTAAGTAAAATGTGCCATGGTTAGAAATCCTATTCATTTCAATGAGATTTTCCCCGGCCTTTCAGCTTCGATTATAGCGCCACCTGGAATGGGAATTGAATCAAATTTTCAGGTGTCATCAGAGGCCGTGGAGAAGAATTGAGCCAAATTTTGTGTCAATCAGACTTGCGGTTATGGAGATTTAAAATGCATGTAAGTCAATGGGATTTTTTTGAACAGCGCCAACTAGGGACTAACTGTAACAAATTTTGCAGAGCCCCTCAGGGGGCATGCCACATAAGGTCCTCAAGTTTTGTGTTGATGGACCTTTCCATGCCTGAGATATCATACTTGCTGTTTTTAGCGTTTTGGCAAATATCTGTTAGCGTGAAATTGGGACATTTTTTGTCGGATCAAAATTCCCTCTACAAACTTTCTTTGGCTTGGTCCAGAGATGGTCCGTGCCAAGTTTCGTGCCGATCGGACTTGTCGTTTCGGAGGAGTTCATTAAAACAGGTTTTTCAGTTTTCGAGATGTAGCGAAAAAAATGTTTAGGCGGAAATGGGCGTGGCCTATACCAGGAGATTCAGCTCGATCCCCCGAACGCGTGGATATAAGGTTTTTAATATCCGCCACTGTATGCGGGAGTTACAGCGATTTGTGCCAAAATTTTGACCTTGCTTGTAGCGCCCCCTAGTGGTCGAAGTGAGCGAATTTTTTCGCATGTCGTCGTCTCATGGGCCTGAACCTACCATTAGTGCCAAAAAACGTCACTCTTGTAGCACGTTTTGCTAACAAAACGGCGTTTAAAACGGCGTTTTGTGTATAAAAACGCCGCGAAAAACGCCGTTTTCTTTTGGCACGCCGTAAAAAGCGGCGTTTAGTTAACAAAACGCCGTTTTAAACGCCGTTTTGTTAACTAAACAAACGGTGTAAAAAACGGCGTTTTGTAAAATGATAATGAGCTCCGCCCTGTGGATTTTACAGCCACTAAATTTGAACTGTTGTCACCCAATCAGTACAGAAGAAGAACAGACCACACTAATTCAGCACTGATCTACTTTACTGTGATCGTAGCCACACAAAGGCAGAAAGTAACCACAGACAAGCATGAAAAACTCAACACAAAAGTCCCAGACTGATCAAGTAAATTGACTACATTTACTAAAAATATTTAGCTACTCTAGGTTATAGCTTGTAACATCTATTGATTGATGATTTTAGATCAAATTTGACATAAATAATTAATTTGCATTTTATTTATCATCACTGTCAGATTAAAGTATCTCCTAAAATAGAACATACAAACACAAAGAAAGTAAGAAATCACCATAAGTGGAACAACTATCTTTACATGGTCATCAGTGAACAGTTTAAGCCTCATTTGTCTTTTTATGAGCCCTTCAGTCGGTGTAGTATTGATAGCGAGCCTACCCTTGTTTCTACAAAGCTGTGTTTTACCATGTCATCCTAAATCCAGGCCAAAGGCAACCTGACACAAACGTGTGTTTCAGTCGGTTCAGGGAAAACAGCTTGTCATTTATTCCCTGGCTTTTATTTATCCAAAGCTATCCTTCCGGACTCCTGCGATAATATTTATGTTACCCCAAAACACTACACTATACAAGTTGCTACAAAAACTATCTTATTCCATATTTATATATTTCCACATTTATTTATGTTGACTGTATGTTTGTCTACATGTAGCACCTTATCACCACAGCAAATTCCTCGTATGTGTAAAACACTACTTGACAATAAAGCTCCTTCCGATCCTGAAAAGGCATCTGCAGGCTATTAAGATACTTGGTTTTAAAAAAACGCTGAATTGCTTTCCTCCGAAATGGACATATTTGAGAAAGGTTACCTGAAGTCTTTGTGAAAGCAACCTTCTGATGATACCTAAGCTAAATAATAAGATGCATGTTTTGAAATCATGTTAATCATCAATAAGCTATCTTTACATTGTGAATAATGTTGGCTGATAATGACAAAATGAAATCGGTTTAATCAGTAAAGGTTGAAATTTATTTTACTGTGTAAACCACACAACATTCAAAATTATTATTATGAACAACCAGGATAAAGAATCTGTCAGACTATTTGTGAGAGACAATTGATTGGAGTCTTGACTACTACTAGATATTTGACTTAATACTTTGAACAATTAGGAATTATGTTAAAACCATTAAAACCAGTAAAAGGTATTTAAAAAATAATGCAAAAATATAATTACGCTCATTTTAATGAACAACTGTAACTAATATAGCCTAAGTACATCAGTGTGTGTGCGTCTGCGTGAGGCTCCAGCTGGTGACGGGCATCACTCGTGGTCCAGTCCATCGTAGGGTGAGTGGAAGTTCTTGGGCAAAACCTTCAGTTCTTGGGGCTGTTTGAACTTCAGCTCTTTAACTGGCTGGCTGGCTGCGCACAGTGGGGCTGCTGTGGTGATACTCTTCTTTTAAGAGATGGGGACAGATAGGCTTCCCAGTCATCTGAGTGGTGCCATCCACGTTGTATCTAGTGGATGGAAGAATTTAAAAGGGAAAATAGGGACAGAATTTTAATAGATTACAAAGTACGTCTTTCACAGTGGTGGAAAAAGTCAGACCTTTAACTTAGGTAAATGTTCCAACACCACACTGTAGAGATATTCTGTATGTCAAAAGTCCTACATTCAAATTTTAAGATGAAAAGTAAAGCTAATTCTAACTACTTTATATTTTGCTGTGTGGCTTTATCTGTGAAAATACTCTAGTTTTTGAATATGTTTTTAATTTATAATCTGCAGAGTAACTAGTCACTAAAGCCATCAAAATAAATGTAGTGGAGTAGTACTTCAAAAAGAAGAGTAATTGGCCGCATGTACTTGGGTACTTTTCACAACTGATTTCTATTGACATAGAAGGCAATATTTGTGCAAGAATGTATATGTCTGATAAAATACCTGATTGTTTGGAGGTCATGCAATGTTGGATCCCCAGCTTTTTCCCAGTTCCCCATCTGGCAGAAGTCCTTGAAGATACGTACCTCACACGGTATGGCCTGGAATTGGAGTGAGCACCAACAAGGTCTTCTCATCTGCATCATCTTTATCCTTTTGCTTCGCAGGCTTTGTGTCCCATGAAGCTGCTTCGATGTTTCCAGGCTTGAAAGAACAGTAGGCATCACACTGGTCTTTCTTTAAGTGAAAGGGAGATATATTTAAGTCACAGAAAATGTTTGACAAAACTTTCATTGACAGAGGCTGTTTTCAAGAGGTCTCCCACTTCAAAAAACACCACTGCTTTATGCCTAATGTTGACAGGAACAAGCGTTGGCACATTCAGATTCTTCTCCAATCTACTACAGGGTGACAAATAATGGATGCTGACCTTCTGGATTCATCTGCTCCTGTCCGCCGCCGCTTTACAGTGCTCCCCTCCACCACAGACTTCACAATCATTTCTCCAGTCCAAATTCCCCCAGAAATACTTAGAAATCTTGTTCTTATGATGTGTCTTCTGCTTTTCTGCAGTAGAGTTTAGTGAACCTTTAGCAGGTTGCAGACTGGCATGGACATACTTTTCTGGACCTTCACGTTCCAGGTCTCTGGATTTCCCCGTCTTCCAAGACGAGCCTCATCGGTTGAAGAGTCCTCCTCAATTCCTTCTCCTTGTGAATAAGAGAAAACAAAAACAGAAATTCTGTAAATGTTGTCCTCACAGTGTGTCTTAGTGTGGTGTTGTGTCTGTCTGTGCAAAAAGTGTGCTAAACAATAGCAAGCAAACTAGAAAACATTCAGCATTCACTGCATTAACTACATCTTACACACACTTCTACGTGTGCATCAGTATGTTGAAAGGTTTTACTACTTCTCACATTATTGTGATCTGTGATTTGATCTGAGCTACATTTATTTGCGTGAAAAGGTTTTATACAATATGTTTTCAATTGTTTGTATGGTTGTCATTGGTATAAAACCTCCAGAGGGGCCAAGTGTGTGCACATCCAGTCAAAAGTACTCAAGTGACAAAAAATATCACTGCAGGACACAAAGGACAAATCTCTGCAGTCCAATGGTGTGCAGACATTTTTCCTGAATTATTTTAATGCCTACATTCAGTGAAATTTTTTGAAAAAAGATTTTTATCATAATTGTTTTTTGACGTTCTACCTGAGATCTGTTAAGTGACCACTGTTTTGCAGGTTCTTGTCATGTACTGACCATAAATAAAAGTTTAAACCAAAATAAACTATATGTTTTTTTTCAACTTTCAAATCAGAAGCAAAGGTCAGCTTTTAAACTTGACAGAAATAAGAATTTGACCTTTTTCATGATAACTATTGATGCTGAATGATATTAGACTTTTTTTTTTAATTATAACATTTTGGGCCCCAGCCGATTCTTTCTGAAATACGGAAGAAATAAAACCGAAACCAAAAGTCTTAAACATCTGTTTTTGATTGAGGAAACCAAATATAGATCTTTGAAGCACAGTGAACTGTCCCATCATATTTTACATTGAACCACAAAGCTTTCAAACCCTATACTTGCTACATCAGCAGTGAGTTGTAAAGAACAAGTTTACGTTAGCCAATCTACAAAATGACAGATGAGAATGACTCTGAACTAGTACAAACTTGATAAAGTTGTCAAACAATAATCTTAAAGCTATACTTTACCTTAGCGACGGTATCTTCCACGGCGAAAGCTTTTTGCTGTTGTTTCTGCTATTCTTTTATTGCCGGTTGGCAAGCCAGCTTATATGTCTTACAAGCCCCAGGCACAGGGCACGTGGAAAGGTAATAAACCTGTAAAACAGCAGAAATGATGAGGCTGAGGAAACTTGCTGCCATTGGTCTAGACGGTCTTCCCAGAGTTCATTTAATAAATACAGTAATTTTAGTCATTACATGAAGTCTCTTTTTGCACATCACTCAGTAATATTCAACTAAGTAACCAAATTACATAAAGTGAATAAAATGTATCTAGCACACGCATCAATTCATCATTTTCCTCATTAAAAGGGAATTTAAAACTCTCGTAGCCTACAGTGAATGTAAACCTTCGAAATATTAACAAAAAAGTATAATACTTAAATATATAAAAAGGGAATTTAAACCTTTTATATTAACAGGGATAAATCTCTCATAGTTCTTACTGACAGAACCATTCACTGTCCTCAATTTAATATAAGATCCTGGCAAGATAGTGACATTTTTTTGTAAACAAAATACAAATAAAATACTTCATATGTGAAACCAGCGCCCAGCAGCCGTAAATGTTAATGGTGGACATTGACCGAGGATCGGGAGTCCTAGCTAACGTCTAGCACAGTGTAAGAAACCTATCAACAAACTGCATAGTTCATACTAAAAACAACGTAAACACAACAGATAACGATTGCTATGCTTATTCATCTGTTTTGTGCTTTTATACACCGTACTGACCTGTAAAACAGGAGGATCTCGACGATCTTGCCGGAACGGCAAGACGACGACAGCTACGTCATCAAAACAGTCCCCAACCGGCAGCAGGCAGCGCTCTGCTGCCCCCTACTGTCTGCAGTGGAGTACTTATTTGTAATGTAAAAGCCTTGGAGGACTTGGTCGACTCAACATTACATTTACATGCATGTGGATGGAAGAATTTGAAAGGGGAAAGAGGATTTTAATAGATTACAAAGTATGTCTTCCACAGCAGTCAGACCTTTGGTAACTTAGGTAAAAAAAAAACACTATAGAAATATTCTGTTGTTTGAGACACTTTCTCAAATAAAGGGAGGGAGGTGCGTGCATCCTGTAGTGGAAGAGACATGGTTTGATGGACACTTTTCACATCCAATGGAGATACTTGTTCAATACATAACGTGATAAACCTTTTGAATCATATGTTAAATTAAACCTAAACAATGTGATCACACTTTTCTTTTTACAAACTAATATAAACTTTAATTTATTTATCCAACTCTTATGCCACAATATTTCTTGCTTGCTTTTTCCCCCTGTTACCATCCCCATTCCCCCTTAACTGAAATAAAAACTAATGAAAGTACTCTGAAAGTACTCTGGCTGTTAGGGAGAGCTAACCATTTGTAAGAACTGACCTGTAACTTCAGATTAGACTCCAGCAGCAGCTTGACCACCACCAGCACCACGTCTGTTGTTCTCATTATGGTTATGGGCCTATCTATGAAACCTGGTGAGCATTACTATGAGTTAAAAAACAACTCCTCTAGCTCTGGGGCTTTCAAATATTTTACTGCCTTTGGTTTGATTCTGTTTGATGAATCATCAGGGAAAGGCAATTCTGTGATGTGACAGGGGGAATATCCCTTTTTTTTTTCCTGAGGTGTTTGTGAATGGCTTAGTGTCCAGATACAGCTTGGTGACCATCTGACTGATGACTCCTCAGATTGTCAACTGGCTGCTCTGGAAAAGACTCAACAGGTGCTTAGATGTTTCTGTTCTGTTTAGAGGAGCTTTTCCACAGTTCCTTTTTTAAAGAACAAACAAACAAACCAAAAAACTACTGTGTTTGTGTCTACTTGTTGTTCCTTGCCAATATTTGACATAACGAGTTTGTTATGCATATTTGTGATCAAGTGGATTGTTGGATACTTTCTCCCAGTTTCAGTAAATGCACTATCCAAATATGGACATAAATAATAGGAGAATTATGACATTACATTGATAGAGTAAATGACAAGTACAATCATTGTTACAAAAATAGATAATAACATGAAGTAAAGAAGCTTATGAGTTTTAATGACTTTTGGTTTTGTTATGGTCTGAATTGAAAATGTTACATATACATAGATATGTAGTGTACCATTTATGAGGCATTATAGCCTATCATGGAAGTTTAATCTGTTATTAACAATGATAATACATTATAGTGTAGCTACTGCTAACTGTAAATGATAACATTTCAAACACACAGGGCTGTCAGGCCTAAAGCTAGTTAATGACAACTCGAGGCGGTACAAATCTCCCGCTGACATTGAACATAACCCAAAAATGTCTTTACATACCTGATGAAATAGACATATGGCCTTAATCAGCACATGTATACTCTTTTCAAATAAACCACCTAATGCAGTGTAATTCATGTTTCGCCTGCAGTAACTGTGGGGCTGATGTTTTTATTAAGTTACATGGTGCAGCTTCATGAATGTCATCTTTACGTTTTCTTAACATAGAACATTTAGATATAGTGTAAGTAGGCTACTAGTTTGGCTAGATAGCCTATTTGATATATTCATATAGCCTATCTTTTTACAACCCTATTCACAGCCATAAGAAATTTAGGGACAGAACCAACAAAGCACCAAGGTGCGAACCAAAGTTCATGTTTTGATACATTTTGATCCATTCGGTTAGTTTTGGTTTGGTTTCACACCTTCTGCGACCACACTAAAAGACTTTACGTGACAGACTTGCGTTCTGTCATCATCATCTAAGTGGGCTGCATCTCCCCACTGCGTCTCCCTGTACTTGACACTGATTGGTTTATTAAATAGGTCGGCAGGTATCTTTGACAAGAATGAATGAATGAAAAATTAACATGTGCATAGGTAGGCTATTTGTCGCTATATTGTCATTATTATGGCATTACTACCTGTAGCACCAACTCTACTGAAGGCTAGTTCAAATTCGCAAATACACACCCTCATTGTGCGAATAACTTCTCCGACAGGAAAGGAGAAGACAGCAATCCTTCTGCTCCTCCGTTTCAGGAGAAACCATAGGTATGTGTACCCTACATTAAGTCTAACACTTAGTCTAATCACTCTGAGGAATGAGATAGGTAAACAGCAAGTGTAATATTAGTAAATATATAGGGCTATTATATACAGGCATTATTTTGAACTGTGAGTTTTTGAAATATAGCTTCTTATAGCCTATGCTATGCTTGAGACTGTAGCCTAAACTCACTCATAGCCTATGTTGTGAGAAGTGTTTTTTTCTTTTTAGGGAGCTGGAAACACCTTCTACTGCCCTTGAAGCACAGACTGTATTTCACCGTTTTATTGTCATATGTAATAAACAAAGATGGAATAAATTTGCAAAATTGTGTATGTGAGTTATTCCTTTACATCACAATTTACAAATATTAAAATATAAATAAATATAATAAATATTAAAAGCCAGGTAAGCTGGTCAAAATATTTTAAAGGACGTTAACAGCCTGTGCCTGTTCACCCTGTTGCCATCTAGATAGAAGATAGACATGTTTCTGCTGTCACACCACCAGACGGCAGAAGAGCTTTAAACTCAAGCTACAGTTTTTAGTTTATTTCTGTTTACCATTCTATAATTGTACTGCCTGCTATGTACCAGAAGGGAGTTACAAACATTTCCTTTTACAACCATGTTGTCATGTGACCATTGAACATACCACGTAGGCTAAACATTGCAGTTAGGTAACCTACATGTGGTCATAAGATTTTTAAAGAATAACTATTATTGTATGACTTTCTAAATAAATATTTCCAAAAGTTAGTAATATGATCATATTATAAAGGTTTTTAATACATAGATATTTGACCAGGTGGTTGTTCCTCAGCAGAGTTAGACCAAGGCTATAGCGCATAGGCCTAGCCTAAATAATATTGGAAATAATAATAATATTGCCTGAAAATGGAAATAATCCTAACCATTAACATATTCTCACAGAGAGGAATGCTTTAAAAATGAGACAGCAAGAATGAGGAAACAAACGTAATTGCGTCACACTTGTTGACGTTTTCGCGGTTTTCCGCGGCTTTTCATTCTCAGTCCGCTCTTTTGAGATGGTAGATGAACAGACATATATAGACAATATTATGTAAAATTATATCACACAAAGTGTAACCTATTTATTGTAGTTGAGTAAAAGTGTGGATAACTAATATATATATATATATATATATATATATATATATATACACACACACACACACACACACACACACACTAGTATTATAGTGCTTTATTTCTTTTAAGAAGCAATTCAATTGTTTGTTTCAAATTAAACTGAACCAATGCTTTAATGGCCTGTTGCCATATACTCCCTCGTTCTGTCCTCATTAACCGACAGGTTTTGCACTTATCAAGTTACTTTTAGTGGCTACCAGTGTAACATTATTACCATGACCAGTTATGAAGTGCCCTAGGTTGTAATTGACAAATTGGGTAACTTTAATCCAGATCCAACTGTTTGTGGGTTTTGTTGTGCCTTTTCATGAAATTAATTATAATATAAATTTAAAATTATGCTATAGAGTTTTCGTTTTTATTAATCGAGTTTCAACAACTGCCTCTGATTGGTTATTCCTTGCCTAAAGTTGGGGTTAGAGTTAGCCAATCAGGCAGATTCGGAGGCAGGACTCGACAGAAAGCCGGTCAAATCAAGAAGTGTTTTCAGAACTACTAGCAAAAAGTTACTCGTATAAGAAAACTCATCAGTCTAAAGTGAATTTGCATTTCCCAGGTAAGTTGATGTATACTTGGCCAGAACAATGTTTAACGTGGTAAAAATAAAGTTCTGTAAGTACTTATTTGCGACTCGTAATTGTTACTGCTCGGTTAGCAGATGAGGGAACGTTCATGCCGCCGCCATTGCTGTAAGTTAACATTAGTTTGAGCGTCGGCTTGTAGCCTGGAATGAGATCTCGTGAGACCCCCTCGCTCATACCAGCATTGCGTTATTGTTACAACTAAATGGGATTTATCATATTATGTCAAAAAACATAGTGTTAAGTTAAACAACATGGAGTTGTGCAGGCAGACTCTTGAATTAATGAAAAATATTAATTACCCTTCATAGCTTTTAGTGGAAACTTTTATTTTGTGTATTTGTAGTATTTTCTTGTGTATTTTGAGAATCTCAGATTCTGTGTACAAGAGGGAAACGGGAACTCTGTAAAGTAATTGTAAACCTCGTGATATTTTTGCATTTGGTCAAAGCCAAGTTGATGGGTGGGTGGTTCCAAAGACACAGAAGAACTCTCAGTTGTCCTTCTAAACTCAATTCAGACAGACATCTGAAAGAAGTTATGGCTCGGAGGACCTTCATCTTGCGGTGCAGGCACATTCTTCAAGACTGTACACGGCGTCTGTTGATGGACGATGTTGGATCTGGTGTGCAACTCTTAACATTGACGAGGTATGTTGTGATAGGCATGCTCGAAAATGTCAAAGGATGATGCACTCTAAAACTATTAAGTAAAAGGCCTGCACACACTGCTGATCGCTATATTACAGTATACAGTAAAACAGTCTGCATAGGAATTGCATGGTGCCTGGTTATGCCAATATGGCCTATATCTCTGGCTCCCACCTCAATTCCATCACAGGACCAGGAACCGACACTAGGATCATGTTTGTGGACTTCAGCTCTGCTTATATACTGTTAAATTATTACGGGAGAAAGGGTTTAAGATGGTATTGTGTGTTTATGTATGTCAACTGTATGTTTGTCTACAACATAATCACTATAGCAAATTCCTTGTGTATGTAAAATACTACTTGGCAATAAAGCTCATTCTGATACCAATAAATGGGTAACCATTACGCTTTCTTATTTTCTCAGGCTAGAGACAATGCACAGAAGCCTCCAGTGGGCAAGGGGAAGACTGATCAATGTCACAGCTGCAGACCAACTTCTCAGCGACTTGTCTGAATTAATCCAGGAGGTCAGAATGTCTTCTCAGCCCGGGCAACAGGGTGAGCTCACAGTGTGTTGTCTTTTGTAAATTTTATTATTATTCTGTTTCTAGTACTGCAATCATAATGACTATGACTTGAACCGGATATGTAGTTTTTAGTGTTAGCATTCTTAAACTTCCAAAGAATCTATCCTTGTGGAAATATTTGCAATATCGAGTGTGTGTGGCAGCTTTGCAGTAAAAGTTTATTTTACATACTGCGCTTTTGATGTTGAGGTTTCATCAATATTCTGTGCTGTATAAGTTGATGTTAGGTGGCCTCAACTTGTTATTATTTTGGCTATAGCCTATAATGCCTTGTTATAGAAATGGAAAGTTTCTTTCTCCTATTAAGGTTATGCAAAAGTTATAGAAATACCTCAGAAAGGTAATTTAATAAAAATATTTCTAAAAGTTATTGAACTATATTATACCATTTTAAAAATTGTATTTATTGTGAAGTTAAGCAAATTTGAGGCGCAGGTTTTTGGGTGACGAGATTTGATAGTTTCTGCGTCTAAGTATTCATTAATATAACATAACAATATTCCTGTTGTAGGCTCCAGAACACAACAAATTATTTACAGTTTACACCAAATATTACAGTTTGGATGATCCAAATATTTACTGTAAATGTGACAAATATGCTAAAAAGGAAGAAATCAAGAAGGGGGCAAATACTTTTTCACCGCACTTTTAAATTTATTTTAAGTGTTTTTTATTAAAAAGGACCAGACTCAAAGCTTAAGACCTTAGCATAAATGCACAGATATTTGCAAGCATGGCACTACCCCACAGTCCATGTGTTAATTTAAGCACGTGCCATAGCTACTGATGTTTCGTCAGATAGCTTTTAAACCCAGCTTCATGTCAAATACTGAATTGTATAAATACTCACACGTCACAATTTGTTTGCAATCCACATTATGGTTTACACTACCAGACACAACTGTATTGATTATATGTTGTATATTTTCTGTATATACTATGTACACCTTCTGTATAATGTCTGTAGTGCTTGAGTCAGTAATGGCTGGAAGAAAATTATGTGTGTTAACATACTTGGCCAATAAATCTGATTCTGATGTCATTTCAGGTAGTTTTGGCTACCAGGCACCGCTGGTTTTGAGTGGAGGTAGAGGTCGACCACATTACTGTGTCACTCGGGAACAGCTGTCATTCTTAAGGTCATGTGGCTTCACTGCACCCCAGATGGCAGATATTCTGCATGTGTCTGTGCGTACAGTTAGACGACGTTTGAGGTAAGAGACTAGGATTTCCGTGTGATGTGATATAGTCACGTAAGATTTGACCCGTAAAAACACACACTTTTATATGTAATGTGTGTGCATATTGTTTGGTCATGATGGACATTAAGAGTAACTTATGATTGTGCTGGATTACATTTCTCTACCTTTTAGACAGTTACACTGCACTCGCGCTTCATTGTATGCAGACTTGACCGATTCTGCCCTAGATGAACATGTGCAAGACATTGTGGCTGGCAATGACCTAGTTGGTCCTGAGGCTGTGAGGGCATCGCTGCATGCAAGTGGACTCCGTGTGCAGAGAAGGAGAGTGCGAGCAAGCATGATTCGATTAAATCCTGGAGCTGCTGCGCTTCGAGCAGTTCTGCAGAGACCAGAGCGACGGTCTTATCAGGTGGCAGGTCCAAACTCATTGTGGCACATTGATGGAAACCACAAGCTGATAAGGTAACTACAGCAGCAGATTTATTCAGCATTTATTTTGACAAAGAAAAGGAATGTTACATCAGCTGAACGTGTTTGCCATTTTTGCTATATCAATAGCCACCTTAATAATAATTTTTTTAATCTGGTTTTAGGTGGCGGATAGTTATTCATGGGGCTATAGATGGGTTTAGTCGCCTTGTGGTCTTCCTGCGTGCCTCCAACAACAACCGCAGCAGCATTGTGTTGGACAGCTTCATCAGTGCTGTGATCCACTATGGCATACCCTCCAGGGTCAGGACGGACAGAGGAGGTGAGAACAGCGCAGTCTGGCTGATGATGAACATCTACAGAGGCTTTGACCGTGGCAGTGCTCTCCGAGGCCGGAGTACCCACAATCAGAGAATTGAGAGGCTCTGGGGTGATCTCTGGCGTGGACTGACGAATGTCTATTATGACTTATTCCACCATCTGGAGAGCGAGGGCATCATTAATGTTGACAGTGAGAGGGACCTCTGGGCTCTCCATTATGTCTATCTGCCAAGGATCAACCGGGACTTAAACGACTTTACAAATCAATGGAATAACCATGGTTTGAGAACAGAGAGACACATGAGCCCACTACAGATTTTTGTTAGAGGCTGCCTTGAGCAACAGGGCCGACCATCAACTGCCATGCAGGACATCTTTGTGGCCAGTGCTGCTGGTGGTGGTGGTCAAGAAGCTGCTGCTGGTGGTGGTGGTCAAGAAGCTGCTGCTGGTGGTGGTGGTCAAGAAGCTGCTGCTGCTGCTGGTGGTCAAGAAGCTGCTGCTGCTGCTGGTGGTCAAGAAGCTGCTGCTGCTGCTGGTGGTCAAGAAGCTGCTGCTGCTGCTGGTGGTGGTCAAGAAGCTGCTGCTGCTGCTGGTGGTGGTCAAGAAGCTGCTGCTGCTGCTGGTGGTGGTCAAGAAGCTGCTGCTGCTGCTGGTG